TTTTAGTAATTAGTTAACGTTGCTTGACTAGGTGTTTACTGTAAAACAATTTGGTGTAGAAACAGTTTTCACTCAGAAATTGTAGTAAATCTACAAAGTAACACATTGAATTAAATGTGAACAGTTTAAGTAGAATAATTTAAATAGTATTTTCTTGTGCAATGTAATCCAGTTATCTTTGTTTTATTAACAACTTAGATTTTTTTTTAAGTACAAAATTTGACATAAAAAATGAAGACATATTGTCAGCGAAAGGGCCACTTCTTTATTTTAACATTCATAAAATGTTGATTGTTGAATTCAGGAGGTCAAATTGAATATTATATGCATCATTTATTTTCTATAAATTTTTTATGAGGTTTGCAATTTTTGAAGTCAATTTACCAAAGTTTGGGGCATGTCTAAATACAGTTTTACTATCAAGCAATAAACATTAAATACTTTGTGTCTCTAATAAAGTGCAGCTTATTCATGGAAATGCCTTCTGCTGTCATTAATCATTTGATATTGTATCCTTGATTGAAGTGCCATGAGTGACATTGAGCTTTTGATGAATGACACATGACTGCCTGTCATGAGCCGTCATTGTTTGTTACCATGGCAATGATAACGAACGGCGTGTCCCGCTGCTCGTGAGATCTCCTAATGAGGCAGTTACAGTAGAGGTCAGAGGCAAAGAGTGTTGTCTGTAATTTCATCACGTTCCCAGAACATCAAGGACATATACGTATTCAATTTTCTTCCTTTCTTTGTCATTTAAATAGACGTGAGTCAGAACAAAGCACAGGCTCCTCTGATCACCGATCGTGTATCTCGACAGTCACTTCTGTTGTTCAACAAACCAGAATTGACTGTCTTTGAAACGCTGTGTTAAATGAAGTTATAACATGAATCGGCAGCTGGATCTTTTTCTATTCATTTGACAGATTAATCCCAAGGACTGCAGTTCAATTTGACCTGTTTCTTTCTCGGCTCTGTTGTCGGTTCGCTTTAATACTGTCGACCCACATTTACTTTGATACTCTCAGTGAACTCA